ATTCCATATTCATATCGTGCAAGTAAATTTATTACATTCAGTTTATTGTAACAACTGTTACACATGTAAATGTAATAAACATTAATACTGCATTTGCATAACATGAAACCTTGTCTATATTTTGAAAAGCATACATAATCCAATTAGTACCTTTTAAGGGAGCCTTTTGATCTAACTTTTGAACGGAAATAATTATTTTCAATAATATCCATCCAATGGAACATCTTTAACTTTACGATAATACTCCTTCGAAATAGTAATCATTTCTGATTCTGGATTATGTATTCGTTTTAACCGATTATATTCTATAATAGTTTTGTGGCGGTCACTGCTACGCGACCGCACCACGACACACCATCGTGCACAGCACAGTGGTTCGCGCGTCCGCCACTAGATGGCGAGTCGGGGAATCACTTTCTCGTGTTCGAAACGCCCCATCGGTGCTATATAAGAGCGGCACTCAGCACTGCTCTTCGCCTCAGTCGCCTCCAGCCTGTTAAAGGCTAAGAGTTGTACTGCGACGTCCTCCGAGCCCTGGAGGCCAGCTCTGGCCTCAGGCTCCACTACACAATTTTTCTGCTGGGAAGACCGACTAATCTTTGGCCGTACTTCCCGCGGCAGTTAACGCCGCGGCAATCCGTTCGTGTCTGGACGCATCTCTTTGGCGACCGTAAACGCCGCCACTCCAATCCGTCCGTTTCCGGACGCATCTCTCTGACGGCCGTGAAAGCTGCCATACCCGTCCGTCCTTTCCTCCGGGGTATCTCTCTGACGGCCGTGAAAGCCATCCAATTCGCCATCTCCGGACTCACCTCTCTGACGGCCGTGAAAGCCATCCAGTTCGTCTTTTCTCCAGGCAATCCTTCCTCCGCGGCAGATACCGCCGCGAACTTCCTACGCGGCCGTGAACGCCGCAGACATCACGTCCGGGAAAAATCCGGGAAATCCTCGCGGTCAGAGACGCCGCCTAATCCGCCCGTGTCCGGGCGACCTGATTCGAGCCGCGGCCTTCGTCGTGCCGATCTCAGCCGCTTCGAGAAAATGCCGTGCAGCATGCGAATCTCCGCAGGCATGCGTCTTCTTTAGAGGCCAGCCGTGACGACTCGTCTACTCCATCAGGACGACCGATGCTGTCTGCCGCCCAGCAGTCACCGCGACATCCATCGCCACCTGCCTCGCGGCTATCTACGCCGCCGCCTGATCACACGCCTCCTCCGACATCCATCGCCTGTCTCGCGCGGACGCAAAGGGACGATCTTCCGGATAGCGAACTAGGCGCTCCTCTCGCCGGTTCAAACAGCGACTTTTAGCCCTTTTTGGGCCAACTTCCTCCCTGGAGGATAGCCCGCCGAGATCGTCGACTCCACAAGAGGAGTCGACAACGCCCGAACGACCACCCATTCCTGGTAGCTCTCTGGAGCTCGGCACCATCCAAGAAAAGCCGTGGCGCCTCTACGCCATCAAGCTTGGCTACGTCCACAACCGGCCACCGCGCCGCGACTCTCGCCGCTTTTACGCAGAAGCTGCCACGCAGACCGAGGGTTTACCCGTCGGCCCACGTTACTTCGCGAGTACGCATCCCGGCCATGATGAGGAGGAGCCGGGGCTCGGGAAAGGCGTCGTGAACGGCTTCAAGAGTTCGTGCGCCTACGCGCAGAAGTAGACACGCTAGACGCACCTACACGCTTTTCTCACGGGACGCAGACACAATCTCGATAACTCCTTGTATCTGATTTATTAGAATATATATCATGGCTTTCGATTAACTCTGCAGTTCCTTGATTTTTGAGTATGCATGCAACCTTCATCCGCACGTCCTTCAGCTTGCGCTACCTGCGAAACACAGCGACCATTGGCTGCTTATCTTTCCGTTTTGCTTGGCATCGACGCCTACACCGTTGGTCTGCCACATAGTTGGTCGAGGACTGGATACTTCCTTCGAGAGAAAAACCAGCTATCATCAGCCGATGCAGCCAATTGCGGGCAACGCAGTACGACAGACCGCATACACTCACACTCGCTCGTTTCTCGCGCATCAAGTCTCCGTCTTCTTCCGAGACACATGGTACAACTCGCAAACATCTACACATTCTCATTATTCCACACTCCACCACTAGACTACCATAGCTTCTTCCCTAGTAAATATGGATGAAGGATCAAAATTAATTAAATGATCCATCCAGAGATATTACTCGAAATAAAGCAACATAAACCTGTCCGCAATTAAATATGGAGTTATCTATATCCATAATAGCGTTTTACAAACTTAATCCCTAGCTTTTATGAATGGTATTATAACTCAAGGATAATGGAAATTGTTTTCTAATGACATATGTTTTCTAATGACATTATGTTCTATCCATCACTTGAAACTTAACACTCACTCTTTCAACAAAATACTCCAAACCAGATGGTAAAAGAAGTTTTATTTTTTCTATATAATTAGTAGTTGTATCCTGTATAAAATATCCTGAAATGACTATTATATCATTTTCAAGGCTCAAACTAGCATTAATATTACGTCTTATCATAACTTTCATCCCAATTTTAATTATAATTTGTTTTGAAAGTCCAGTTGTTCTAGTATTATCATCATCGTTATCTGTCAATATCTTTGTTACCCTTATTTTTATATATGAAATACAATCAATTGTATCTTCAGCTATTAAAAATATTTCTTTTGAAGCAATATGATTTAACATTGCAGTGTTAAGAATGTCATATGACAAGTAGGAAATAAACAAACGGCATCAGATGGCAAATTATTAATAAAATCACACAATTCGTTTACTCTTCGAAAAATTCACCCTTAAAAGATATTTTTCTTTTTTCGAGAATCTCACAATCAGATTTTGTTAATAACCAACACGAATTCTTGAGAGTAATTCACGATAAGATCCGTCTCCTTGTTGACGCATATTGATCGTCAATTTGTCATAGTCAAATAAAATTGTCCATAGATTAATAGCATTTAAAGAAGATATTTATGAAGATTTAGAATTTTTTCATCTGATGAATGTATAAAAGCAGGATTTTTATATACGGGAGGTAATTGGAGAAAATCTCCAAATAAAAGGATATGCTTTGGGCACAGTCAGTATCAAATATTTCAGATAGTCGTAAATGTATAATACATTAAAATGAAATTCGATATCATTGATACTTCATCAATTATTATAAGAATAACATCTTTGAGATGTTGACTCGTATAATTTTCAAAACGTGATCAGATAATTATTTATATTTAGAAGTACGTCCATGTTCAATAAGTGACTGCAGTAATCTGTGAACTGTCAAATCAACATATTAAATGCTGCTATACCAGTAGGTACTGTTATGGCAGTATCTTTATTAAGATTTTATTTTATCCAGCATTTAATTGCTTTAATCAGGAAACTCTTGCCAGTACCTCCTTTTCCACTAACATATAATCGTAATAACGATTTATCTGATGTAACAGTATTAATGACTCTATCAAATACCCTTTCTATCTAATACTTATCAAATACCTATTCTTTGATCTACATTTAGTTTAGAAATCATTTCAGATATATCTATTTCCTATTTGTTGCCCAGATCTTTAAAATCTTGCATCGCTTCACCAACTTCAACATTTTGAATACCTATTGGATTATTAGGCTAAAACGTATTAATAGAAATATAAAAAGTATATTGTAAGTACTATTGTTTTACATTTTATTAATAAAACTGATTTTATGTACATATACTATTAAAAATTGATATAATTCTGACATATTTTAGGATCAATATATAAACAGGTGAAAATCTAATAATCTGATCTAAACTCTTTATATACAAAAAGATATATTTAATTATAATTAACAGAACAGAATGATCTTAATGAAAAATATTAATAAAAGTATAAAAAATATATTATAAATTACCTTTTTTAAAAAAAGGGTGAAAAAGGGTGTCAAGTATAATGGACGCTTGAAAAAAAAAGAAACTGTTGTACCAAGTTAAAAAATAAAATCTAATTGATAATATTTTTTATTTTAAAGAAATAGAATCGAAGTATCTCTGTATCTTCATTGAAGAATTTTCTCCAACTCATATGGTAGTAGTTTTAATTCTTTAAACAAAATTATGTTACGAAATGTTACCCAAATAAGAAGGGAGGGTGTGCGTCACGGCAGGGCCCGATCACGAACCAGTCGTGAAATTCGCAATTATTTTGCAAAAAATATCATCTCAGCCAGGAATCGAACCTAGATCTCCTACTTACCGGGCAGGTATTTTACTGTATTCATGAAAACATGAATTACTGTTACTTTATTATTGAATTATTGTTTATTATATAGATATTTGATATACATAGACTTTTTTTATAGACTTTTTTCTTCTTAGGAAATCAAATCGAATATATTTGGATGTATATAAAACGAAAAACAATTTATTTTTTTTTAAATTTATATTTAAACAAGTTATGTCTAAAATGTTGAAACTATACATATACATACATACATTTTATAACTATACATACATACATACATACATAAAAAACTATACATATATACATTCACACACATACAATTTCAAATCTGTATGTTAACTCATAAACAAAAATATTAATTGTGCTTTTAATTCAATTCTGTAAATAAAATTAATAACTGTTTTATCTAAAAAAGATTAAATATTGTTTTTTAAAGGTATCTATAAGAATATTTATATTTGGAATGGAAAAGCAGAAATGACTACAAACAATCAAGAAACACGGTAGTGTTTCTGGTGTCAAATCAACCGAAAACAACTGTGTGACTTTACACGAGTCGGCAAGATGCGAACATCTGAAATTATCGAATCTCAATAATGGCTAAACTGATCAAGTTCTAAGTAGGCTTGATCGATAGTTTGAGTCCGATTTGCATAATAAAAGTATTTTTATTTTTCTGCTACGTGCCCTACAAGCAGAGATATTGCTACGCAAAGTCCGATTTGGAAATTTTTACTTTAAGAAACGTTATCATTATTATCGTCGCCTTTGTACGGCTGCAACGTCTGTCACGAGATGTCATTATTAATCTTATCGACCCAGCAGATTATCAGACTGATAAGTCAGAGTTACTGTAGGATCTAGCGAATCAATGTTCGCTGAATCCTGCAGAGATTCTGATTTATCGGTCTGATTTATCCGTTGGGTTGATAAGATTGATTGATTGATGTAAACACGGTAGTGTTTTTCGTTGTAGACCTCTCGGGTATCAATATAATAATAAATACGCGTGTATAATAAATACGCGTGCATTAAAAAGAAAACATTAGCAGTATATTTAATAAATTACTTACTATTGCATAGTATGCTTACTCTTTTTCTGCACGTCCGAGTGGTGGCCAACGCTGTTGACGTTCACAAAAGATAGCTCATAGGAATCAGGAGGGCGGCGGAATTAAATAAATAAGTCAATTCACTAGTTTTAATTAACATATACACTATGAGAGCGTTTATTCTGTTTGAGTCTATGATACAATAGTCCTGAAACAGAGTTACTCCGATTTTAGCGCGCACACTGTGCCATGTGTACCGGCTATATTCGAGCAAAAAACCGTTAAACGAACGGAAACTGAAGCGCGAGGTTTTACCATATCTTTTACATTAAATTAATTAACCAGAGCTAATCACGTCGATTATCACTAATTGTTACCGAAACCGAACTTAACTATTTGACCGATTTCCCAAAGCGATTCCCGACAACGCGTGTCTGATGCGTATGTCTTTCCGAAGGAGAGTGCCACGTTGCTCCAATATGCCGGAAATCGGAGCACGGATCGAAGGCTTTAGAACGATCCCGAATTTATTAGAACCGGCTTCGTTTCCGGTTCGCGAGCGTCGTTTTCCGCTAATTAATTAATTTTCACCTCGCGAGGTGCGCTGACATCCGGTAGGTACGGCAGCCAGGAGTTGGCACAATCGACCGGTCTATCGATTTACTAATTTAGTGCGATATCTTACAGTTTCGGCCAGCTTGTAAACATCCCTTCGTCCTCGAAGGCTTTGTTTACTTTTTTTTATTATTATTGTTAACATTGTTGTGATCACAGGTAACTTTATTATCACAGTTTTCCATTATCTCATTGCTCGCAGAAAACTTAATATTATCTTAACCTAACATAACCTAATGCTATCGCTTATACTAACTAAAGAAAACAACATAAATTCTACATTATTATGCTTAACATTGCCAACAAAATAATTATTTTATTAATCAAGTAACACAGTTTTTTTTTCTTTCTTTCTTAACTAGCTATCTCACTTTCAGGACGTGACACTTTAATCCAGTGCTTTAGCTTGTCGGAGGAAAGGATTGTATTCATCGGACGAGATGTCCAATTATAACCAGGTATGTCCTTCACCACATATTGATTATTTCCTAAGTTTTTGTCCATCATACGGCCCTATACGGCCCTTGTATTTCGCGGATAATTTAATATTTTCACTTAGCTTTCTTCGAGTATCTCTCACAAGTACATAACTGGCGTTGTAAATGGTTGGTTTGCGTAATTTCGAATCTCTGTAGATTTTATTATATTGTTGGATTAGATCAGTAGCGGTTTTGGCTGTCTCGCGCGTCCTTTCCCTCGTCGCGCCGAGATCAGCGTCAATTTTACCAAATCTTGTATAAATTGAGCCAACGAATTATCAGAGTGATTTAACTGCTCGTACTCAAAAACTATTTTTGACGGCGAGGACTTTATGACCGCGTGATAAGTATTATTGATTATGTATTGGAATTCCGACAATTTCTCTTTCCACTCTGATGCAATTTTCAGCAATTTTGTCAGGGACCTTTTTATAAATCTATTGACGCATTCTACCATTCCGTTAGCCCACGGAGAAGCTATCGCCACTTTTTTGTGTTTTATTCCGAAACTACTGAGAAAATTCGAGAATTTTGTCAATGTGCCATTCCTCGATCTTATACGAGTTCTTTTGATTTTCCGAACGTGTTAATTATATTTTCCAAATGAAACGTCACTTTCCGCGACGTGATAGACTTTATCAGGCACAATCACGTAAAACGCAAAAACGCATCTACGACCACTAACACGTGTTTAAACTGATGTGACGTTTGTTGCAGGGGACCGAAATGGTCGACGTGGAGAATTTTCACTTTACTCGGTGACGGAAAGATACTCGTCTCTTCCTCGAACCGATTCACCGCGACGTTGGACATTATACAAGTAAGACAATTTTCCAAATAGTCATTTCTTTTCCGCATATTGGGAAACTAAAAATTTTGACTAATTCCCTGAAACATTTTTTCTAGCCCACAATTATCCTTAATCTTTAATTCTTCACATATATTTTTTATTTTAGGATCAATAAGTTGATGGAATTCCAGTTCCCTTTTTAGGAAAAGCTCACAAACCCGACGCAGCGACTCAACGCGTCGCATCGACATGTTGCATCCGGGTTCTTAAAGCTATAATTTTGCAAGGTGAGCGTTCACCTGGCACGAGGATTAAGATTCACTTTGTTCACCGCATACACTAACGCGTTACAATCAGTGACTATTGTAAAAATCAAACCGTTCAAATATAAATGGAATCTCTCTACGGCTCGAACTATCGTCAGCATCTCTAATCCAAAACTGTGATATTTTTTTTCCGATTGACTGGTCGACTGACCACGGAAGTATATCACGGCTAACCACTTAAGATTCTGCTGCTTCTGTAGCAGACCTTCGCACCTATCCCTTGACTCGTCAGTGTGGAGTTTAGTCTCTGTCGACGGATTATATAATGTGAGGATTGGTGAAGAGATTCCGATTTAAGTTGTTCAAAAGCTTGGCAATGTCAAAACAAAATTCGGTGTCTTTCCTTAATAGATTCTGTAGCGATCGAGCTTTTAAAGCGAAATCTTTTATGAATTTGCGAAAGTAACTCACTAATCCTAAAAAATTTTGAGTCTCATGCACGTTTCTCGATTGCCGAAAATTCCTAACTACCTCAGTATGCCTAGGATTCAATGTGATATTGCTTGCTGAAGCAACATATCCTAAGAATTCAATTTCCTTTTTCACAAATAAACACTTTAAGTAATTCAATTCGCAACGATACTTTTTGAGTAGAGTCATAGTTTTCGTCAAGATTTGTAAATTTTGTTCTGAATCCGTTGGGATCAGAACGTCATCCATATATACGATGATCTTATTATCACGTAGCAGCGGGTTCAATATTTGAATAAGTCGTTTTTGAAATTCAACCGGAGCTTCCGATTACCATTAGCAAATATCAGAAAAAAATATTCTTAAAATGTATTTTTAGTAACATCTTCTAAATTTATTTTATAGTTTCTATTAATAATATCAAGAAAAAAAGAGAATTATCTTGGATTATATCGAGTCATGTTTTACTAATGCTGGATTTTATGGATTTGTTGAGCACAAGAGGTATTTAGAATACAAAATATTTTTATTCAAACTTCGTACAGCGTGAACGTCTTAATTTTTAGAACAAGAAGAGAGAGGGGATGCTCTCTAGTCAGCAAAAAGAAAAAATGAAAAACAAACCATACAAATAGCGCTGAGAATATGAATAGATAATAAAAGAAGAGACGCGAGATTTGTAAGTATAACTAATTCTATACGTAACAAATGATAAATAAAACTACTAATTTGAGTTAAATTGTATATTCCAACATTCCTCCTCCTCCTCCTTTAACCAGTCTAACTCAAAATAAGCTTTATAACTGGTAACAAATGACACCAAAAAAAATTTAGATTGGTTGTTCTAGATCAAATTGCGAACAGAATTTAACAAATTGAGAGTATAGAAACGGCTTTATAAAAATATCTGCCACTTGGTCCTTGATGTTCAAATAGTCAATTGTGATCAATTTCTTCTCGTATAAATCTCTCACAAAATTATATTTAACATCGACATGTTTCAATCGTTTATGCTCCCAGCGAGCAAACAAGTGTATACAGGATTGGTTATCTTCTATATTTTAGGTGGAGTTGCACAGATTACTCTGAGATCGTATAAGATATTCTTTATCTAGATTAATTCAGATGAAGCTGTTACAAGAGCCACTGTTGCAAGAGCCATATTCGGCTTCAGTGGATGATAAGGCCACTGTTGTCTCTTCGTAGTCCATAAAATCCAAATACCTTTTTCCAAATACCTTTATGAGAAAAGTGATTTTGAAGTTGATTTTCTGTCTGATTCACTCCTATAATCTGCGTCAATGAAACAGGATAATTCATCTGACCTTCCTTTTTGATATCTTAAAGATATGTTCAACATTCCTTTAATATAGCGTAGTATTTTTTTCAAACCTTTCCATCGTGCTTCAGTCTGATTGTGTTGGTAATGACTGAAGTACGTTACTGGTAATGACTGAAGTAGTTCATCTCAAATCCGGTCGAGTAGCCAGCATAACATACATTAAACAGCCCACTAATTCTCTATAAGGTTTCGAACTTATCAGTTGAGCCTCTCCGCTGTCTGAAATTGGTGTTGTATCCATAGGCGTTTTTGTTGGATTACAGTCCTCCATCTTGAAACGTTGTCGTTGTAGATAATTAACTAACTCAGACACATCTCTGTATCGGATCATTCGATGTTAATACCGAGGAATGACTGTAGTTTGCCCAAGTCCTTCATCCTAAATTTACTTTTTAGTTTCTCTGTTACTTGATCTATTATCTTCTTATTATTTCCTGTAACAATTATGTTGTCAACATATAGAAGTATATAGAACATATAGAAGTTGTCAACATATAAAAAAGTATACGTAAATTTCATTAATCTCTAAAATGTATAGACATTTGTAAATCTCTGATCTTTGAAAACCTAAATCTATGATAAAATTGTTAAAGATATTTAAATATTGTGCTCTATGCCCTCGGTGCTTGCTTGAGGGCATAGAGTGCTCTGTTTAATTTACAGACCAGATTACTTTCCGTTTCAAATCCTGCAGGGACTTTCATATACAGCTCTTTCTCAATTTCACCATAGAGAAAAGCGTTTCTTACATCCACATGACTCGCATAAAAATTTTTCTCTACTATTACAGCAAATAACGTCCTCAGTGTCGTTAATCTAGCGACAAGTGCATAGATCTCTTCATAATCATATCTTTTCTTTTGTGCACAATCTTTCACAACCAGTCTTGCTTTGTATCTTCTGATGTTTCCATTTTTATCTCTTTTAAATATCCACCTATTATCTAATAGTCTTTTCCCTTGAGGTAATTCAATTAATTTCCAGGTATTGTTTTCTGTCAATGCATCTATTTCTTCTTTCACTGCTTGTATCCATTCTTGTTTATCTTCTCGAGAGGCTAATTCATTGAAATTCTCTGGTATCTTCCATATATGATTCAGCGTGTAATGCAATAACTGCATAATTCAAATGCTTAGGTTTCTTCTTTAATCGCCTGCTTTGACGTGGTGTTTTAAAATATCCTATTCTTTTTGGATCTATTAGTAGTTTCTTATCTAATTTTCTAATATCTTATCTAATTTTTTTTTGATCTCCTTCAAATATTTCTTCTTCGCTTTCTTCGGTTCCGTCCTCTCTAACTTTTGCTGTGCTCTTCAGATTGTATTTCTTTTTCTTGATGAATCCAATCTTCGCTTAATAAACTATCAAAGGTAAATTTCAAAGGTCTTTTTAAATATAATGTCTCTTCCTGTAATGATTTTCTTTTCCTCTAGACAAAAGTTTGTAATCGTTAGGACAATATCCAATAAAATAACATTTAAGTATCCTAGAGTCAAATTTTCCAGTGATAAGTTCTTTTGTTTTAAATACGCAATACAGCCAAATACTTTAAGTTGTCCAATGTCTGGAATTTTATTGTATCATAAGGCAGCAGGAATCTTCCCTTCCAAAGCTGATGTCAGACTCCGATTCATTAGATATACAGTAGTCTGCACTGCTTCTGGCCAAAATGTTTTTTCTAGTTTCGAGTTCAAAAACATACATCGTGCCTTTTATAAAATTGTGCGGTTCATCCGCTTAGCTACTCCATTTTGTTGTGGTGTGTATCGGACAGTAAATTCAAACTATTCCTTTACTCTCGAAAAATTGTTTTATTTCGGTATAGATACTCCCACCCAGTATCACATCTAAAACGGCTTATCTTCAAATTAAAATGGGCAGTTGTCATGGCTTCGAATACTTTAAAATAACGCAATACCTCTGCTTTCGATGTTAAAATATAAGCGCACGTAAAATGCGAATAATCAATAAAGGTGAGCACATACCTCATATTCTGATGGGATATGGAACTTATTGGGCTGATAAGATCACTATGTAGTTAGTTGCAATGAGCATTTAGCTCGTTCGATGTTTATTATGAGACATATGTGTCTGTTTTCCTTCGATGCATATTTCACACAGTCCACGGGATGAGTCTATAAACTTTGTATTTATTCCTACAGTTTGATTTTGGAGTCTTTTTACATCTTCAGTTTAAATGACCCATTCTTTTATGTCATAGTTCTAATTCATTCATTCTCATGCTTACATTTGCGTGGACTACTTTCTTAAAGTTCAATTCATACAGTTCTGATTTATTTCTATGCGTTATTGCTACGATATTGTTATCTTTTGTAATGATTCCTCGTTTGTTTTCAAAGATTACTCGAAATCTGTTCATTTTGACTTTCGTACTGAAAGAAGATTATATCGAAGATCCGGTACCGAAAGTATTTCTTTTATTGTTTCCGGAGGATTTCCTTTCCGTCTATCAAACTTAAAGTCTGGATTTTGCCAACCTTGTTAGTTTGTAGAAAACTTTTTGTAATCCTTAGTCTAATAGGTATCTAATAGGTGTCTTTAATTTTTTTTCACTATTTAAAGGAACATTTCTGTTCACCAAATGCTCAGTGACACCAGAATTCAAAATCCATTTCATATTGCAACTTGTGGTTTCCAGTTGTCGCTGAAAAACAAAAGATTTGTTCGTTCCTGGTTTTTCAGATCCAGAAGCAGCATGTGCATTTTGAGTTTTCTTCGCAACTTGTTCGAGTAGTTTCTTTCGACATTCAACATATTTATGTCCAATTTTGTTGCAATAATTGCATTTAAACGGGAATGATGTACTACGTAGTTTGTTCAAATTGCTAGACTTGTGTAAAGATTTAATCCCGTTTCCCTTTTTTATGTTTCATGACTGTGATGCAAATACCGATGGCAGCAATGACTCTTCTCCATCCATTTTTATACCATGTTGCTTAATTTCTACATCCATAAGCCTGTTCTTGACGAATCCTAGTGTTAAGCTATCTGCAGTCAGAGTTTCAATATCAGTAACTATATTGTCATACTCAAGCGGCATCGTAAATAGAAGATAACAGATTATGTCTGTTTCCTCTAGATTAGATATCTTGTTGAACGCAAATCTCGAATACTTTTATCAAATTTAAGAAAGTGTGTAGCTAATGAATCTTTCGTCTCATCAAATTTCATAGATAAAAATGACTTACATATCAATAGCTGACTAGCTATATCTTTCTTTTCGAAAGTTTCACATAATGCTGACCACAAGTCAAATGCCATCTCTTTATCCTTGACATACTCAAGGTGGACTGACTGTCCGCTATTCGTCGAATGATGTTAGACTTACATTATTGATCCTTCTTCTGTTTTTCTCTAATCTTTCGCATTTCCTTTGTTGACCGCTCCGTTGTATCTATAGGAATCTTCCATTTTTGTATACAGTTGTGTGACGAAGCCCAACAAATCTATTTCAGTTAATAGAGACTCTATCCGGAACTTCTAATTACTGAAGTTTGTTCCGTTGAACAATGGAATTCTAGACTTTTCTAGATCGATCTCTGCCATTGTATCGTCGTGAAGGTTAAAGCGTAGAGGTTAACTGCAACAAG